GCGGTTCTCGTCGCGTGCGCTGGACGTCAAGGCGGTGCGCCTGGCCGCGACAACCGAGATGCGTGTGCGCGCGTGTCGCTGACTGCTATACCTCGGCCTCGTCGCCGCACGCGAGGCCGCGATCGCCAACAAGTGTGTGTATGTTTTTTTTTTTTTTTGTGTGTGTGTGTCGTCCTCAGCTGCCTACCCCCCAGCTGCTGCCCCGGCGCCGCTGGCCCCCGCCCCGGCGCAGCCCCCCCGCCGCCGCCTGGCCCCGCTGTGAGCGGGCCTGGCCTCCCCCTCCCCCCCGCCGTCGCCGGGCGTCGTCTCTCCCTCCCTCGTGCATCGCGGCCTAATTCGCCTTTGTTCGACCAACATTTGCCCCTTTCCGCCAGCGCAGTCACTCTGCCTAGCCGCCCCAAGAGGCCCCCAACAAGCTCCAAAAGGCCTCCAAATGGGCCCCCCAACGGGCCCCAAGACGCTTCAAAACTGCCTCCAAGAGGCTCCGCCAGGCCCGCAAGACGCCCACACATGTCCCCAGATAATGTCCAAGAAGCCCACGACGCCACAACAGACGAAGCCAGGACGAGGACAACATCGGGTTACAGTCGAGGTACTACCAGAAGCAACGCTAGATTGGGAACGGAGCCCCCTTTTGGACCCAGAAGCGCACAAAGGCAGGAGGAGTGATAGAGGAATGGCCATGGAAGAACCTACGGAACAGCGAGCCCCTTCAGAACAATCAGCCCAGGTGAGGACAACATCGGGTGAGGATACATAAATCAAGAATCCCTGAGATCCGGCGGCTCTGGAGGCTATCTCGGGCGCCGCGGCCTTCTCAGAGCGCTCCGGAATGCGCTGAGATCGTTCTGGAACGCTCCACGCTCTGGAACGGACCGTCCTCGTCCCAGTCCCGTCCGACTTGTGTCCCACGCATACCTCCGCACGTGCACGGCTTTTCGGTTTTTTACTGCATCCGTCAACCGCTTATCGGCTGGCCCTCATCGGCACACGTTCGGTGGTAATCAGCTCAGCGCATCCCGCTAATGCCCTCGCAATGTTGGACCAACTGGCCGCGAAACGAACAGAAGGTGTGTGTGTGTGTGTGTGTGTGTGTGTGTGTGTGTGTTGAGCGGGCCCAACTTCCGTTTCCCTCTTGCCCGCGCCGGGCCTTCCCCCTCCCCCTCACGTGCATCGCGGCTTAATCTGCAATTGTATGCCCTACATTTGCCCTATCCGCCAGCGCAGTCACTCTGCCCAGCCGCCGACGCAAACAGTGTCTGTGTGTGTGTGTGTGTGTGTGTGCGTGCTTGGGCCTCTTCGGGCCTCTGGCAGCCTCCTGGGGCTTCGAGAACCTCTGCAAAATTCAGTGGGTCAAGATCCAGGGCGGTGACAACCCGTTACCAATCACCCCCCTCCCGGTGGGTCCATGGGACACCTCCCTCCTCCTCCTCGTCCCTCCTCTTCCCCCTCCTGGATGTGTCTTCCCTCCTTCTCCTCATCCTGCTCCTCCTCCTCCACCAGGAGGTGGAAGCTGCGTCACCAGCGACTGTACATGGCTTCCGAAGATGTATGTGTCCGAATCCATGAACAGCACGCGCGCAAAGGGCAGGCGGAACGCGTTGATCTTTTCGAAGCTATCATGCCAACGCCCCAAGAACTCAAGGTCACATTCTTTTCCGCAGTACTCTTTGTCCCAATTCGGCACCATGACCGTCGACCAACCAGCACTTTTCAGGAGACTCCTGTACTTCGATTTCATGCCTGCAATGATCAGCGCCACCATGGGGTATTCTGGCAAATATTTTTGGACGGACATGCCCAACATCACTGCACCATCGATGTACTCTGGGTTCTTCTTGCCCGCAAACGTGACGACGGCCGTCGCCTTCTTGTGGTTTGGGATGCCGTTGGCGGGAAGTAAGAACGATACGTTTTGGACCCACTCTGGCGACAATTCTGGCTTCTTGGCGTCTCTATCCACTTGGCGGATCGTGACACCCTGGCAGACACTGACGAAACACACCAGGGTGAACGCCAGAAGCTGTGAGCAGGCCATTGGCACGTGCTCACTCTGTACAGGTATGGAGACTGTGAGATAGATTGTGTGTCCAGTATGGAGTCGGCTTGTCGGGCTTGAGCAGTCGAACGCTCTCGACGACGAGGCAGGCCCTTGCAGGACGTCGCCTACGCTAGGGGAACAAAAAGTGATATAAACATAACAACTCGGAGGTCCGCGCCGCGCTCCGCGCGCCAGGGAGGGGGGTCCAGCGCCGATCCGAGAAATCCGCCTGGACCTCCGAGGTTTTATGTTCCTGCCACTTTTTGTTTCCCTATACGCAGACACTTCGGGGGTCCTGGAGCCGTGTGGTGCCCGACCTCGCGGTGAGCGCGAAGCCCCGGGAGACCTCACCGCGCGGGCCGTCGCCGCATGGCCTTGGGTCCTCGGAGGTTGGAGGCCTGGCAATGGGCACCAGCACCATCACAGGGGGGTGCCTCCACAAGGGGAAGCTGATCCTGGATTTCGGTCATGGTGGTGATACTTCGGCCACCCTGGAAGCCAGACCGTTACCACCAGCACCGCGATCGGGATCTTCTTCCCTCGATGGAGGCACACCGCCGATATTGTTGGTGTTGGTGTCAACCTTTAGGCCTGCGAGGAGGCCCTGGTCGCCCGAGGTGTCCTCAGAGTCCGACCCAAGTCCCGAAACAATGCGGTGACCCCGTCACCACCGACTCACCACGCGGTGTGGTCACCACAGCGTCTGGGGGCCCCCGAACTACATTGTCCCCAGCGTGAGGGCTGCCGGCCTGGGCGTCGCAGAGCAAGAACCCTCGAGGCCAGACGGAGGCAGGCGCACGGTACTGTGGAGTGACGCGCAGCAGCACGCCCTCTACGAGAGAATCGATAATCTACGGTCGGAACAGGGACATGATGACATACTATACTCTGGATCGCTCAATAATCGCCCTCCCCTTGGAGTGCCCGGGGGGGGGGTTGCCGCGGCGCGTCCGCGGGGGTGCTAGGGGGGTGGTGGTGCTGGAGGGGGTTGGCCGCGCCGCGTTTTCACGTTTGTCCCCCCCCCCCCGGTCGACTAATAAGAAGTTCGAAAAAAAACTACGGTCGGAGCAGGGACATGACAACATGCTGTAAGATCGCGGGCTCCCCCGCTGGCCAAGGACCCCAAGGCATATGGCCACGTGGCCACCGAGGATCCCTTCCGAGGGGTCACCCGACCCTGACTGCCTGGTCTGTCTGGAAAGCCATGGTAAAGCCCCAGCCCGAAGTATGAAGCATTCGGTACGGTGCCGCAGCCCTCAGCCCTCCAGTCCCAGCCGGAATATTGTGGGGTGCCCTTCAACAAGCTACACAGTAACATTCAAACAAAGCAAAAAACGTGAAGTCCCCTCCCCCGGCCGAACAATGTTCTTAAGCCTCGCTCCGACTGTACGGCAGATTCGTGTCGTGACGAACTCGGCGTTTGGTTTCTGACGCGGCGTGGATCGTCCAATCATGAATGATCGGCGGTTTTCGATCGCCTGAGATACTCCATATTGGCTGATTCTGGGCCACTGGTGACGTTCAACCTTGAACGCCTCTGGTGGGGTCGCCGCCGCGTCGGCACGAAACATACTTGCCGTAATCGAACACACACACACATCGTGCTATTCTGGAACGGATGCCAGGTGTCCGCCCAGTCTGGGCTCACTGATGATTGTGCCCGTCAGTCTCATCAGAAGCGCTCCTGATGTCAAGTTTCCCCTCCTGGCGCCTGCAACGCGACAGCACCTGCAACGTCTGTGCGTTTCGAGCCTGAGATTCCAGAGCGGGTCTGGGCCATATGCAGCGTTTCAAAAGTGGAGCGACGATGACAGCTCCAGTGAACTGCGATTTGCGACAACATTCGCACACACAGGGGCCACGACGCGGTCCAGAGATCTTTGGGTCTGGTCCCCAGAGCTGGCTTTTCGCTGCGGGCCTCAAGTGTATTGTCCTGCAACCCGAGAGCGGTTTTCAGAGAGCCGTCGCACGGCAAAACGAATGCTGCCCGCATGGAAATCCGGGCACCCAAATGCTGAATATGGCGTCACAACTTGAGCGCGGTCTTCTATGGCGTGAAAACGCAGCATGAAAATACACCTTCGGAGGTTCGCGCTCACGTCTTGGATCGGCGCTCGACTCCCGCCCTGGCGACACCTCTGGCGCCGCCCTGGTGCGCTCCGCGCGCCAGGCAGGTGGGTCCAGCGCCAAAAAAAAAAGCCGCGCGGACAGCCGAGCATTTGTGTCCACGTCTCTTTGTTTTCTCGGGTTTCCCCCACTCGCCAGTTCACGAGCGGCGAACATATCCATACCCGCGCCCTCGCGGTCTGGATTCTGGGGTGCGATCCTGTGGATACGCGGTCTCATGGACACGTTCCGCGCGGGGCACCCGCGAAAAAGCCGCCTCCACCCACGGGGTCGTGGGACAGGGGCCCGGCCCGCTGGGCCGTGGATGCGGATATGCCTGCTGCCCTCGGAGAGTCTGGGCCTCCAGGGCTCCCCGGAGGCCTCGGGGGGCTTCTGGACGGCCGAGGGGCGACAGGAGGCCGCCAGAGGCCCAGAGAGGAGCCAAAAGCATGACAAAACCTGGACTGCGGTGCTGTCGGGGTGCCTCCTAAGTCTCCACCTCGGGGGAGGGCAGTGAAGGGGAGGAGGAAGGGGAGGAGGAGGAGGAGGAGGAGGAGGAGGAGGAGGAGGAGGAGAAGGAGGAGGAGGAGGAGGAGGAGGAGGAGGAGGAGGAGAGGGAAGAGGAGAGGGAAGAGGAGGAGGAGCAGGAGGAGGAGGAGGGCGAGGAGGAGGACCAGTGTAAACCCAACAGTCACCACAAATGTTGAATAACCCCTCCCTCCAAGCTCTTTCTTCATAGGCCCCTACAACGGTACATTTTCACTGAGGGAACTGCCTCGTTGGAAGACAGCCGTTTGAAGACCCTGACGCATGCCAAAACATTGCTCTCGGGATTCCAACGCCACGGATCAAC